CTCCAGTCGCCTTAAAATTATGCCCCCTTGTAATAGTCATTTCCGCCCTGGGATAGTCTCTGACTATCCACACTATCTATGCCTCTCATCATCTTGTACACCTCTATCAAGTCACCTCTCATCCTTCTTCTCTCCAATGAGAAAAGCCCGAGCTCCCTCAACCTTTCCTCATAAGACCTGCTCTCCAGTCTAGGCAGCATCCTGGTAAATCTTCTGTGCACCCTCTCTAAAGCTTCCACATTCCTCCTATAATGAGGTGACCAGAACTGAACACAATATTCCAAGTGTGGTCTAACCAGAGCTTTATAGAGCTACAGGATAACATCGTGCCTCTTAAATTCAATTCCCCTGCCAGTGAAAGCCAACGCACCATATGCCTTCTTTACAACGCTATCAACTTGGGTAGCAACTTTGCGGGATCTATGGACGTGGACCCCAAGATCCCTCTTCCTCCACACTGCCAAGAATTCTGCCATTAACCCTGTATTCTGCATTCAAATTCAACCTTCCAAAATGAATCACTTCACACTTTTCTGGGTTGAATTCCATCTGCCACTTCTTTGCCCAGCTCTGCATCCTGTCAATGTCCCATTGCAACCTACGACAGCCCTCTACACTATCCACAACTCCAACCTTTCTGTCATTGGCAAACTTATTAACCCCCCCCTTCCACTTCCTCATCCAAGTCATTTATAAAGATCACAAAGAGCAGAGGCCCCAGAACAGATCCCTGTGGAACACCACTGGTCACCGAGCTCCAGGCTGAATACTTTCCATCTACTACTGCCCTCTGTATTCTATTGGACAACCAATTCTGTATCCAAACAGCCAAATTTTCCTGAATCCCATGCCTCCTTGCCTTCTGAATGAGCCTACCATGGGGATCCTTATCAAATGCGTTGTTAAAATCCATACACACCACATCCACTGCTTTATCTTCATCAGTGTGTTTTGTCACATCCTCATAGAATTCAGTAAGGCCTGTGAGGCATGACCTGGCCCTCACACAGCCGTGCTGACTATTTCTAATCAAATTGTGCTTTTCCAAATAATCATAAATACTGTGTCTCAGAATCCTCTCCAATAATTTGCCCACCACAGAAATAAGATTGACTGGTCTGTAATTTCCAGGATTATCCCTATTCCCTTTCTTAAACAAGGGAATAACATTTGCCACCCTCCAATCATCTGGTACTACTCCAGTGGACAGTGAGGACGCAACGATCATCACCAAAGGCTTCCCGTATATAACCTTGGGTATATCCCGTCTGGCCCAGGGGACTTATCTATCCTCATGTTTTTCAAAATTTTTAGCATATCCTCCTTCCTAACATCAACCTGTTCGAGCATATCAGCCTGTTTCATGCTGTCCTCACAAACATCAAGGTCCCTCTCACTGGTGAATACTGAAGCATAATATTCATTAAGGACCTCCCCTACGACTTCCGATTCCGTGCACAAGTTCCCTCCACTATCCCTGATTGGCCCTACCCTCACTCTGGCTGTCCTCTTGGGGTTTTCCTGAATCCTACCCGCCAAGGTTTTTTCATACCCACTTCTGGCTCTCCTAAGTCCATTCTTCAATTCCTTCCTGGCTACCTTGTAGCCCTCTAAGTGCCCTATCCGATCCTTGCTTCCTCAACCTTAAGTAAGCTTCCTTCTTCCTCCTGACTAGATGTCCCACATGTCTTGTCATCCAAGGTTCCTTCATCTTACCATCCCTTCCTTGCCTTAGTGGGACAAACCTATCCAGCACTCCCAGCAAGTGCTCCCTAAACAACCTCCACATTTCTATCGTGCATTTCTCTGAGAACATCTGATCCCAATTTATGCCCCGCAGTTCTTGCCTAATAGTATTGTAATTCCCCCTCTCCCAATTAAATACTTCCCCACACTGTCTGCTCCTATCCCTTTCCATGGCTTTCATAAAGGCCAGGGAGTTGTGATCACTATCACCGAAATGCTTTCCCACCAAGAGATCTGACACCTGGCCTGGTTTGTTGCCAAGCACCAAATCCAATATGGCCTCCCGTCTAGTCGGCCTATCTACATACTGAGTCAGAAATCCTTCCTGGATGCACCTGACAAAATCTGCTCCATCCAAATTATTTGCACTTAGAAGGTTCCAGTTGATATTAGGGAAGTTGAAGTCATCCATAACAACAACCCTATTACTTCTGCTCCTTTCCAAAATCTGCTTCCGAATCTGTTCCTCTGTGTCTCTGTTGCTATTGGGGGGGTCTGTAGAAAACTCCTAATAAAGTGACTGCTCCTTTCCTGTTTCTGACTTCCACCCATACTGACTCAGTAGACAAACCCTCCTGCATGACCTCCCTTTCTGCAGCTGTGATACCATCCTTGATTAGCAATGCCACTGCCTCACCTCTTTTACCTCCCTCCCTATTTCTTTTGGAACATCCAACAACCATTCCTGCCCCTGTGTTATCCAAGTCTCCGTAATGGCCACAACATCGTCGCTCCAAGTACTGATCCATGCTCCAAGTTCATCACCCTTATTCCTCACACTTCTTGCATTAAAATAGACACACTTCAACCTGTTGCACTGACTGCAACTTTGCCCTGTCAATTGTCTATCCTCCCTCACAGACTCTCTACATGCTGTACCTACCTGTACACTAGCTACCCCATCCTCTGATCCGTAGCTCCGGTTCCAAACCCCCTACCAAACTAGTTTAAACCCTCCCGAAGAGCTCTAGCAAACCTCCCGCCCAGGATATTGATGCCCCTCCAGTTCAGGTGCAACCTGTCCTTCCTGTACAGGTCCCACCTTCCCCAGAAGCTACCCCAATGATCCACATATCTGAAGCCCTCCTTCTTACACCAGCTCTGTAGCCACATGTTCAGCTGCACTCGCTCTCTATTCCTAGCCTCACTCGCCCGTGGCACCGGTAGTAATCCTGAGATTACTGCTCTGCTCATCCTGCCTTTTAGCTTCCAACCTATCTCCCTATATATTCACTTTTCAAGTCCTCCTGTCTTTTCCTAGCTATGTCATTTGTACTGATGTGTACCACAACTTCTGGCTGTTCACCCTCCCCTTTAAGAATCCTGAAGACTCCCTCCGAGACATCCCTGACCCTGGCACCTCGGAGGCAACATATCATCTGGGAGTCTCGCTCGGGACCACAGAATCTCCTGTCTATTCCCCTAACCATTGAATCTCCTATCTCTATCGCTCTCCTGTTCTCCCTCGATCCCTTCTCAGCCACAGAGCCAGGCTGAGTGCTGGAGACCTAGCTGCTATGGCTTTCCCCTGGTAGGGCGGCCCCTCCGTGGTAATGAGATGATATTGATGATGATCTAGAAAAAAGGAAATGTGGTCAATAGAAGTGTAGTGTGAACTGTCTAAACAGGGATACGCTAAATCCTCATTATCTGCGGTTGATAGGGGCACGGAACACCTGTGGTGTCTGTCTCTGTTATCCACAGCAATATAAATCTGATAAGGACTGCGCAATCAGTCCTGATGAGTCCATGGGCAAAAACAACATACAGATCTGGGGCTAACCTTGCAAGTACACTGATCTCTAGGTAGCAAATCATCAGATGACAAGGATTGAGTGTATACCATCCAAGGGCGTTACTCGGATTGGATAGAGCTAGGTTGGAGACACATTTGGAAAATATGTATTTTGTCATTGATGATAGGGTAATGCAAATGGAGTTCAGCAAGGACTCTGTATGGAAAACAAGCTTTGGACTGGTAAGAATTCTGACAGTAGGACACTGAAAGATATACAACTTCTAAGAAGAAAGACCAGGAGAGCATTGTGACTAATTGACCTTCACAAGGAAAGCATGTAAGGAAAACAATTCCAGTAACAGTGCAAGAGAGATGACAGTGGTAATCGTGCAATGGTAGGGGGAAGCGATGTTCATGACTAAGCAGACATGAGGAAAGTAGCACAAGTCATATTTAAGAGAAAATTAGGATTGCTTTTATATGTCCTACAAAAGAAAAGTTGAGTTCAGATTTTGTATACTGACATTGTACTTCTGATATAACAAGGTGTAGAGCTGGGTGAACACAGCAGGCCAAGCAGCATCAGAGGAGCAGGAAAGCTGATGTTTCGGGCCTAGACCCTTCTTCAGAAAATGTACTCTTGTATTTGTGATAGTTTGTTTTATCAATACCAAAATGTGAAGCCCATTTTTACCTCCTTCAACTTTACCTCGTGGAAAATAGTGATGGACTGGGCTTTCAGCACTTGTGATTTATGCTTTGACCTTTCCTGCTCATTTTTTTGAGCAACTAAATTAGCATGGCTTTCATTGGTTTCCAAGCTTGTGTAACTAGTGAATATAATGTTGGCAAGTGTTTTGTTTCCTAATATGCTGCAATACTTACATACCATTACAATACCATTTATCAGCAAGATCTAATAATGTGTTTGCGTGTCAGTATTGGAATGTTGCTTTTGAGGAAGTAATTTGTATTTGTTAAATTTGATGTAATTAATATGGGATTTTCATTGTGATGGGGATATTATTTTCTGCTTCCCTGAAAATGAATTGGATGTGTTTCGGTAATAGGTAGGACCAATGGAAAATGAATCATTCAAATTGGATGTTAACCATTTTCAGTTGATATATGTAAGATTTGTTTTGCATACTGTAGACTTGCAATTCATTTGGAACTTTATTTGAAGGATTAACTTCTAAAAACAAGCAATTACTCCATTTACTTGAAAATAGCACAAGTGTGTATGTATTTCTTTTAAACTATCTTATTGGATCTCAGCACAATCTTGTGAATTTCTTCAGACTCCTGCCCTTGATGAATGCTTATGTTGTGTTTCCTAATGCTGCACCCTATGAACTGTCCTGAACTGCTTGTATCAAACTGTCATGCAACTTCTTGATAAAATTCTTTGAAATTATTATTATATTTTTGATATTTTATGTTCGGAGGGTATAAAATACCATTCAAAATCCAATTTGCAATATCTGACTGAAATTAGATTAGATGATTTACTCCCATGAACAGCATAATGATTTAACTTTAAACCTTATAGGTGGCATACCTGATATGGAAACCTGTCCTCAGGATACCTTGGGACTCAGTAAACTTGGCCAAGCAGAGAAAGATAGAAAGTTGAAAAAGAAGTAAGTTTTTTCGAAGCTTTTTACCTGAAGTAGTACGAAATGCATGGCTCTTTTGACTCCATTACATCAATTACCTTTCTGAAAAAAAAATTGCAATGATATTTTAAATGGTTCATACAGCACAGAAGACAGTTTTTAAAATACAGTGGCTTTTGAATAATGTATGAACTGAGAAGGAAATCTGGCTCCTCCTAATGCCCTCTCCTACCCACAACCCACATCATCCATTCCATTCCAATATCATTTTACCTTTCATTTAAAATTAGTGCTTTACACATTTTTTTCTTCATTTCTTTCCTTTCTTATGTTGTTATTCACTCCATGACCTTAGTAGTAAATCAGGGTAAGTTCATTTATCATTAACTTTCATGAATGCAATGGGTTTGCTTTGTAGCTCTATTTCAATCGCTGATGCCATGGGGAAGTTTGTTTCTCTCTGGAATGTGCCGTATGCAAGATGTGAACATTTCCATTGAGTTCCAGTTTGTATGTAAGAAGGATCTTCTCTTATCTCTCCACAGATAGCCGCCTGGCAGTATCTGTGGAGAAAAAGCACAGTTAGAATTTCAAGTGTGCTGACACTAAAGGGTCAGAGGACCTGAAACGTTAACTCTACTTTCTCTGCACAGATGCTGCCAGGCCTGCTGAGTTTCTCCAGCAATTTCTGTTTTAGCTTTACAACTTTGTAGCTTCAACTAATAATCTTAAGAACCCCTGGGCTATAATATCACCTTTCTGACTGGTGTTACTTGGGCATTGATGCTCGAATCTCATCAATCCATGATGAGAAAAGATTGGCTGTATCTATCCTGCCTCAGTACAGAATTGGACTCTATTTAAGATCAGCCACAAGATCCTGAAAAATGCACACTCTTTTCTGTATCTTGGGAACCTCCTCTCAACGAAGGTAGACATAAATGACAGTTTATCATTGCCTCTAATGTGCTAGCTTCACCTTCAGCCAACTTGCAAAAAGTATTTGAGGACGGGAAATCAAATTGGAAACTAAGATCGTGATTTACTAGGTAGCAGTGATCTGTGCATTTGTTGTTATTTTGGAGACTAGGACAGTGTACGCCAGTCACCTCAAAGCTCTGGGGAAGTACCACCAGCAGTGCCTTTGCATGATCCTCTAAATCCATTGGCAAGACATGTGGCCTGGCAGCAGTGACCTGTCTCAAGCTAACATGTCCAGTACTAAGGCACTAATCACGCAAAACCAACTCTGCTAGGCAAGGCATATATTTTGTTTTGCCTGACACCAAACTTGCAAAGCAGCTGTTCACATGGGACTAAGTTGTGGCAGGAGATTCACGGGGGCACATTTTAGAAATGTCCTTAAGCCATTTGAGAGGTTAGATGTCCTCACTGACTTATGGTCACTCAGAAGCAGTGACTCCCAAAAATGGAGAACTTTCATTTCAGAATAAACCAAGTATATCAAGAGGCTTAGCTTCTGTGCGTTCCTGGCAACGTTGAGACATTGGAGAGAGCAAACAAGCCCAACAACTTATCTAACTGAGCCTCAAAACAGTGTTTACCCCACATCTGTCAGCGTCCATAGATAAAACTTTAGTTTTGCTGTTGTTCTCAGAACCCATCAAACTGGAAGGCAAACAATTCACCTTTCTCCTGAGGAATTGCCTAGGCATGGTATTATTGACTATGGTATAGGAATGCATCTATTGATCAAGATCTGTATTTTATGCTGGACGTGGGAAGGAGGTGACCTTTTGAAGGCTATGTCTTCTTTGCCAAATCTAGCTTCATTGCTTCAAACCTCTTAAACTTTGCTTTGGCACTGAAGTTGCTTTCCAGAAAAATAATGAAATTGTCAGACAACCATGATCTGTTCAACTGCAGGTTGTTTTTCTGCACAGTCATTGTCACTTCGGAAGCAAAAGCCTTGTTCTCATTATTGCATGATCAGTCTGAGGAATCTTACAAGCTTATGAACTAGGTTTAGCTGCTTCCTCATTCAGTACAATCCTGGCTGATATCATTTCTCTGCATACCTGCTTACTCGTCATCATTTTTCATATTGTTCGTTAAGAATCTATCCACTTCTGCTTTATTCAAAAAGTACTTCCATTGCCTTCTGAGGAAAAGAATATTAAAGACTCACAACCCTCTGTGAGGAATAAACTGCTTCTCATCTCTATATCAGATGGGCAACACCTGACTTTTAACGGTGACACCAGTTATAAATTATTTCAAATGAACTAAATGCAGTAAATTCATGGCCATTTTTATAGGTGGCCATTTTCACACACAGCAAGAGCCAACAAACTAATCACAACAACTTGCATTTATGTAGCATATTTAACGTCTTAAGCTGTCCAAAGAGCCCCATTAGAGCAAGATCAGATCACCATGGGATGAATAATAAATTGGCCTGAAATTATTTATGATGTTATGTGTTGGGAGAAAATTATTGCCACAAGGCCTTCTTGGAAAGTACTATTGGAATTCTAAAGTTCATCTCTTGGGCTGTTACAAGTGATGTAATACATATTTGCATTGAATTACATAGCCTTTTTTGTGCAGTGGACACTATTAGGCCCATCAGGTCCATTCTACTTCTCATGCTCCACACAAATCTTCTGTCACTCTTTGTGGAACTCTGTCAACATATTTGTATATTTGTCTAGCTTCATTTTCAGTTAATCTGTGCTGTTGACTTCTCATTGTGAAAGCATTCTAATAACTGCAGGTGGAGAAGTTTCTGTTGGGCTTGCTAGTGACCATCTTTTTGGCCCAGGTGGTCTCACTTGCAAGTGAAAACAAGTGTCACATCCAGCTCCACATTTATTGACATGCTGTCTGACCTGCTGTGCTTTTCCAGCTCCACATTTATTGACTCTAGTCTTCAGCATCTGCATTGCTTACTGTCTCCAATTCACTGAACACCATACTGCGAAGTCTCTTCTAAGGATGCCCACCTTTGAAGAAATTTTCGTCCTCCCTCTGGAGAGAGCTCAGTGAGTTTCTCACCCACTGCAACCCCTGGGTTATCTCCTCTACCCTGAAGCTCTTAAACCACATTCTGAAGCTCCATCTCACCTAACCTCCCCCCAGCCCTGCTCCCTTCCTAGTCCTGATGAAGAGTTTCAACCCTGAGCGTTGTCTTTCCTGCTCCTTGGATACTGTCAGATCTGCTGTGCTTTCTAGCTCCACATTTATTGACTGTAGCTTCCAGCATCTGCAGTCTGTACTGTCTCCATGTTACATGTATGTGGTTTATTTGGAAACTCGGCTGGGTTTTCCAATCCATTCTATCACCAAGATTACTGTCCTCCACCATTAAGGTATTACAGATCTCAGCCTTTACTATGTCTGAAATCCTATCTTACCTAGATTTAATGTTGAGGATTAGTTTCTCAAATGGTATTCTCGTGAGCTTTTCACACAATTTGCCCTCCCCAAAAATATTCAGTCAACATATATTTCTGCAGTGAACAATTTAACTGTTCCTGTCATTGTAATGCCATTAAGTTCCCTTGCTCCAAAGTGCTTTAGTATTTCCTCCAAAATCCTTGTCTTCACATTGCTTCCTAACTTTGTCCTATCCAATGTCTAAAATCTATAACCATATCTTCTGCCTAACGTGTCCTGGTTTAACTGGATTATCATTTGTTCCTTGACTTTTCAGCTTCATTGTAGGTAACCCTGTGTGATGATGCTGTGGTCTTAAGGGGTGTGTTTTGTTCTGGTTGCTTTAAGAAAAAGATTTAGGGACAGATAGTAAGCAGTCTGTGGGAAGATAAACAACTTGTGAGACTTTTTTTTTTAAAAGTTAGAACAATAGAAGCAGCCTGCGTGAGTGTGGTCAAACTCTCTCAGATCAGGGATTTTTAATTTAGCTTTCAGCAGTTGCTGTTGTAGGCTTGAAGTGCTTTTTTTTCCTCTTTATTCATTCATGGGATGAGGGCCAGGCAGCATTTTCTGTCCATCCTTAATTGCCCAGAGGGCAGTTGAGAGTCAACCACATTGCTGTGGGTCTGGAGTTACATGTAGGCCAGACCAGGTGAGGATAGCAGTTTCCTTCCCTAAAGGATATTAGTGAACCAGATGGGTTTTTCCAACAATTGACAATGGATTCACTGTCATCATTAGATTCTTAATTCCAGATATTTATTGAATTCAAATTCCATAATCTGCTGTGATGGGATTCGAATCAGAATCCTCAGAACTTTATCTATGTCTCTGGATTAACAGTCCAGCCATAATGCCACTAGGCCATTGCCTCCCCTGGAAGTGGAAGTTATTTTTCCCTCTCTCGATTACAGCCAAAAGCTGGAGGCTCTCTTCTTAGGCTGCTGGATTGCATGTGAGACAAAATCTGCTTTTCTGAATTTGTGTTTTTGCCATAGGGTGTGCTTATGGGAACAGTTAATTAGTAATAGTTACTGTATCTATTATTCTAAGTTCTTCTTTTGTTGTAATTTAACTATAGTGTTTGAATAAATTGTGTTTTGCTTAATATCGAGTAGTTTGACCAGTCAAATTGCATCTGGAACACAGCACTTCACACTTTTCTTTAAAATAAGAAAAAGTTAAAGTCTAGGCTGCCTTAAAATATTTTTGGGGCGGTCCATAACACCTTCCACCCGCCATCTGTCTGCCCCCTAGAATGTTGTCAGAAACCTGTCTACTGTGAGTCTGAGTTTCTGCTTTCAAATGTTTCTAATAAGCAAACAACCATTTTTCCAGTCTATGTACAACTCTAAACCCAGTCCTCAATTACTGCTTAGTAAACCAACTTTTGTCATAAAGCACTGAAATGTTTTTGAATGGACAGCACCATGCAAAAGCAAGATGAGGTTTCAGGAGTGTGGAACTGCAGTAGCACTTCATCAGTATTTGAATAACTGGAACTCTGTGGAAATGGTAATACCATTTAGTATATGCTCGTGGGAAGAAAAATGGTACTTTTCTGTGTGAAGCTTCATTTAACCAACAGTTCCTGCTAGAAAGAATGGGTTTTCATTTTCCGTGACTGACCTTTAGCTTTCAAAAAAAAATAACAGTTTGCTCATGCTTTCCCATGAATATTTCATGTTGCAAGTTTTTAATTAGTCTAACAATCTTGATCTGCATGGACTAACTACCTCATTAAAACTCTTTGTACTCCGATTACTTTAAATCTGTAAGACTGACTATTTTGACTTGAATGAATGATTTGAAGATTAATAATGCTGCTTTTTACTGGATGAAACCACTGAACTGATTTAAAATGAATCCAATCTGTTAATGAGACTTGTATTTTAGGACAGAGTTGTTGGAAGAAGCACGAAGACAAGGTCTCCCGTTTGCACTGTGGGATGGGCCCACTGTAGTCGTGTGGTTGGAGGTGAGATTGCAGATTTTAAATTGATGGGTAATGTATTTTGAATTATTTGAGAAAAATATTGTGTTATCACTGATTAGTCTTGTTGCAGATAAACCAAGCATGGTCTTCAGGTGAAGTGATGTGAGAGCTTAGGTGTAATAGCGTCAGGTTGTACAGACATAAATCAATCTCCATTTTGAAGTCTTGCACTTGAACGCTTGATTTCTGTAATTTAATTTTATAGGTATCTTCTCCCTAGGATAGGGGATTTCAAGACTAGGGGGTACATTTTTAAGGTGAGAGGGGAGAGATTTAGAAAAGATGTGAGGGGCAAATTTTTTTTACACAGGGTGGTTGGTGTATGGAATAAACTTCCTGAGGAAGTGGTGGATGTGGGCACAATTACAACATTTAAAAGATATTTAGATAAGTATATGACGAGGAAAGATTTGGAGGGATATGGGCCAGGAGCAGGCAGGTGGGATTAGTTTAGTTTGGGTTTAGGTTCGGCATGGACTAGTTGGATCGAAGGGTCTGTTTCCGTGCCGTATGACTCCGATGATTTATTATTAAATACAAAACCTAGGGAAGATGCTGAAGAGGGATTTGGATGGATTATAGTGGATATTCAGTACTGTACAGACTGATACCAAGCTGATGTGCTGTAGCACCACTCCTGGCAAAAGGATAGAAATGCAACTTTGTAATCTTTATCGAAACGATAGCATGGAAGGTCTGATATTTCTAAACCGATTCTTTGAACCAACTATTTGATTCGTCATATTCTGTCATCCTTTACTCCTGTTTCAAATAGTGTAGCCAGTTCATTTTAGAAGGTTACAATTGAGTGTTTCCAACAAACTTCAAGAGTGCATTTTAAATCATAATTCCTTAGGGTGGCTGGGATAAAAGTGTCAACCTAAGGAAATTTCCATTATAATTGTCAACTCATAAATTTCATAAATGGGGTTGGGACTCGTGAGTCTACAAGAAGAAAAGTCTGACGAGCAAAAACAAGATTTGTCGACCACAAACAGAGGTGGGAATTAGTATTCTTGCCATTTCTGAATGGGAAAGGTAGGGGATTGGTGGAAATTTGGTTTTACAACCCACTCCATTTAGTCTCCATTGAAGCCAGTGGATAATGTAATATTAGTCAGTGTACAACACAATCCTATGGTTTCTCAGCACAATGAGATAACTTTAAGCAATTGTAACCTATCAACTTATAAAAGAGTTGTTTTCCTACCAGAAACCTTTTATTGATTGTGTTCTGTTTCCAGCTTTGGGTCGGAATGCCAGCATGGTATGTAGCAGCCTGTAGAGCCAATGTAAAAAGTGGTGCTATTATGTCAGCCTTATCAGATACTGAAATACAACGAGAGATTGGCATCAGTAATCCACTCCATAGATTAAAATTACGCCTAGCTATCCAGGAGATGGTATCACTCACCAGTCCTTCAGCACCTGCAACGTCTCGAACGGTAGGGACAAAACTCATTTATGTATGAAAACAACATGAGCTTTTACAATGGTTTGTTAACAATTTGGGCCTGTGGCATGTTTTATGAGAGATGTTATTCATTTTCCTGTTCTGACTCTGTAACTGTGCGTGGTGGAAGTGGTGTGATACATCTGAGCAGCATGCTAGGGCATTTTAGAGGACACTTGAGAGCAATCACATTGCTATGGGTCTGTAGTTGTACATAGGGCAGACTGGGTGAGTGTGACAGATTTTTTTTCCCCATTTTCTACAGTGCTTCATAAACATTTTCCCCGTAATGACTCTGTCTCAAATTCTGTGTGATCCAAAGTGAAAATTAGCGAATAGAGAGGTGGATATTTAAAACAACTGGTTCACTGTTTTTCAAACAAAATTGGCTGTAATCATTGGGCCTATCAGATGATTAACAGAGGAAAATCAAAGATTTGAAGGAGCCTCACAGCTGTCTAAACTCTGTCCAATCTCTGTTCCTTTCAACCCTTCCTCAGAGCTCAAGAACCTAAAATCTTATTTCGTAACCCTACTGGGATTGTGACCCCTTGGCTTAGGACCCCTAGTTGTGGAATTTCATGAACTAGATGGGTTTAGGATATGTGGTAGTTTAATGATATTTATTACTGACCCTAACATTTCACAATAATTAACCAAATTTTAATTATCCGAGTAACCATAATGGGATTTAAACTCCTGTTGCTGGAACATTATTCTGGTCTCTGGATTTCTGATCCTGTAACATTCCCGTCATGTTGCCATTCCCAATAACTCACCAACAGACTCCCCATAGCCTGCTCAGCATCTGCAAGTCAGAGGTCATGAGTGTGATGGGGTACTCCTGTTTGCCTGGATGAATGCAGCTCCTCCAACAACAACACTATCCAGGACAAAGCAATCCACTTGATTGATAGGCTCACTCCACTGTCTTAAATGTTCATACCCTCTACCACCTACTGCATAGTGGCAGCATTGAATTCCATTTCCAACCTGTCTAGGTTCTTTCAACATCATTTTCCAAACGTGTAGTTTCTATCACCTGAGAAGGACAAGGGTAGCACATTCATGGGAAAACCACCCCCTGCAAGTTCCCCCTCCAAGCCACTCTCCATCCTGACATGGAACTATACTGTTGCTTAGGTCAAAAACCTGGAACTCCCTCCCTAAGGGCATTGTGGGCGTACCCACATTCCAAGGACTATAGTAGTTGAAAAAGGTGGACATCTCGCATTTTATTGCAACATTTAAGTTTGGGCAAAGTCAGAAGTCACAAGACACCAGGTTATAGTCCAATAGGTTTAGTTGAAATCAAAAGCTTTCGAAGCACTGCTGCATAGTCAGATGAAGTGGAAGGAAGCGTACAGGCACAGAACTTGTATGTAGAGAGATAATGGTAAGATAATTCCAAGTAATTGAGTGTCAAATGATAAATACAAATAGTGAGTGTGGAGTGTCGGCAGGCCAAGCAACAAGTCTTTGCAAGTGATCAAAAGTGTCAAATGATGTGAGTAAAGTATCAACAGCTGAATAGCAAGTGAAAGGATGACCTATGATCTGATTAGTAATGACAAAAGTTCAAAAATAGGATGGTGCTAGAGACAAACCAAATGGCTGGAATAACATGATAGGTATGAGAGTCTCAAACAGACTGTTGTTCGCAGCAAACTACCCAGCCTTCAGGAGAACAGCGACCACAACACACACAACCCTGCCACGGCAACCTCTGCAAGACATGTCAAATTATTGACGTGGACACTACCATCACATACATACTCGTGTGACTCGGCCAGTGTCTACTACCTCACGCTGCAGGAAAGGATGCCCCAAGGCATGGTATGTTGGCAAGACCATGCAGACACCACAACAATGGATGAATGGACACCGTGCAGCAATTGCCAGGTGGGGATATTCCCTTCCAGTTGGGGAACACTTCAACGATCAAGGGCATTCAGCCTCTGATCTTTGGGTAAGCATCCTCCAAGGCGGCCTTCGAGATACACAACACAGAATCGCCGAGCAGAAACTGATAGCCAAGTTCCGTACCCTTGAGGACAGCCTCAGCTGTGATCTTGGGTTCATGCCGTGCTACATGTAACCCAACCACACTGTTCTGTGTTAAATCTTTCTTACTCTTCTGTTTTGACACCAGCATCATAATAACTTGTTACGATCTCTCTACCTCAATTAGTTTGTACAATTTTGAACTATTTGTTACTTCGGTTAGACCTTTCTCATGTGACTGTTATACCTATCATGTTATTCCAGACATTTGGTTTGTCTCTATTTTTGATTTTTTTTGTAATTATTAATCAGATCATAGGTTATCCCTTCACTTGCTATTCAGCCGTTGACACTTTACTCACACTGTTTGACACTTTTGATCACCTGCAAGGACTTGTTATTCAGCCTGGCGACACTCCACTCACACTATTTGTATTTATTTTTTGACACTCTTAATTGCCTGGAATTATCTTACCATTATCTCTCTGCATATAAATTATGTGTCTGTGCACTTCCTTCCACTTCACCTGACAAAGGAGCAATGCTCCGGAAGCTTGTGATTCCAAGTAACCTGTTGGACTATAACTTGGTGTCATGTGACTTCTGACTTTGTCCACCCCAGTCCAACATGGACACCTCCACATCATAAATTTGGACAGTTAAAGATGGAGAAAAAGTGCTGGCCTTGCCAGGAACACCCTCATCCTATGAATAAATAAAGTTCACAAAGCTGATGCTGGGAAATGTTTGAAGTTAAGAGTGCACACAGACACATACTAATTGATTGAAAAAGTCATCCTTCAACAACAAAACTGGATTTTAAAAGCCAAATCAATGAGTCTTGTAAGTGATTTGCAATCCTCTAGAGAAGCTGTGGCTTAGAATGCCTTCCTTAAATATATCTGTTACTTAATGATCTGCCACCTCTCCTCTTTATTACTGCTTTCCTGTCATTGGATTTTGTTGGGTCTCTGTGGGTCATGTGATTAGTCCACTGGAAATGTCTGGTTAACACATGAAGAAATGGAAACTCTCGCTGCTGCACCACAAACGGTTAGTCCCACATTTAACAGCTTCTATCCCTGATCATTTCTCCCTGTATCATGTACTTTCCACTCCTGTAAAGGCTTTTGATATATAGTCAGCTGTAATTGCCTGAGCGATTTATTTCACTTGAAATTTAAAGCTGATGGATGCTTGCCTAAATGTGTTTAAGTACTCAATGATTGTATATATTCGATCTTTGCAGTGTCTCACCTAAAGGCCTTTGTTGTTGAAAGAGAACAACTCTCAATTTTAATATAAATGCAACGAAACATCCTTTCTATCAAACAAGCAGTAGGAATTGTGGAGGATGCTTGATGGCCCAAGTGGTGCGCTTCCATTCTGATTACATCATCAATTGTACAATTGGCAAATACAGAGCAGTAGCTCATCCCTGTTCCTGATACCCTAATGTACAGATTAAACTTTGTAAATATGAAATCAGCCTGGAATCTACATGTACATTATTTAACAAGAAGATGACATGTACTACGCAGCATTGCCTTTTTCAAGTAGAATAAATTTAATGAGGTTTTCCTAATGTGAATAAAAAATAAATAGTACAAGTTATCCATTGTCATGATTATGGGCATGCAAGATAGATGTACAGAGTGGAAACTGATTAGAGTTGTTGCCTTTTCATGTATGAATCATGGGTCTAAATTATGTCTGCTTGTATAGAAAGGATGTTGCCAAATATATCTCGGGTACATTGTCATCTTATATCTTCTAACAATCTGATTGCATGTCTGTTTGTTTAGTAGAGATATTATTCTGAAACTTCTGCTTAATAAGACGGTGCTTGGAATTTCAGATTGCTGGTTTGTGTTGCATCCATTCATGATACTGGCTATGAAAGCAAACTAAACCAATGTACCATTATTAACGTTATGACCCATGTTTTCCCCATGCTTTTCTAACTGCTTTAACATCAGGATGATGAAGAGGGCAGCTGGGCCCAGGTGGGCTTTTTAACAATATATACCTCTCTTTACTTGCTAGTTTATCGTTTTGTTTCACCCAGTTTTTCATTTATTTCCGTTCCTGTGTTGAAATGTTTCTCACGATGCAAACATTTACACTGACTTAACATTTGCTAAGAATTCAGTTTTACTGAATAAGTGAGAATAATCTTTTTGAAGATGGATTTATGCATTTATTAATTTAAATAGTTTAATCTATATGGACTTCAGCAAGGCATTTCACAAGTTTCCGCATGGTAGACTGGTTAGCAAGGTTAGATCGCATGGAATCCAGAGAGAGCTAGCCATTTGGATATTAAAATTGACTTGAAGGCAGGAAACAGAGAGTGGTGGTGGAAGATTGTTCTTCTGACTGGAGGCCTGTGACCAGCGGTGTGCCGCAATTATTAGTGCTGGGTTGGCTGCTTTCTGTCAAATAAAAGATTTGGATGTGAATATAGGAGGAATGGTTAGTAAGTTTGCAGGTGACAGTTCCCCCACCACCCCCCTCCCCAAAAAAAGGTGGTGTATTGGACAGCAAAGAAGGTTATCACTTATCACAACAAGAGCCTGATCCAGTGGGCCAAGGAGTGGCAGCTGGTTTAATTTTGATAAGTGTGAGGTGTTGCATTTTGGTAAGGCAAATGAGGGCAGGACTTATACACTTAATGTTAGGGCCCTGGGTAGAGTTTTTGAATAAAGAGATCTTGGGATTAAGGCTCATAGTTCCTTGGAGGTAGATAGGGTAGTGAAGAAGGTGTCTTGCATGCTAGGATTTGGGAGGTCATATTGCAGTTGGTACAGGACATTGTTTGGGCCACCTTTCAAATAATGCATTTATTTCTGGCCTCCTTGCTATAGGAAAGATGTTGTTAAGCTTGAAAGTGTGCAGAAAAGATTTACAAGGATGTTGCCAGGGTTGAAGTGTTTGAGCTATAGGGAGAGGCTGAATAGGCTGTGTTCATTTTCCTTGGAGCATTGCAGGCTGAGGGGTGACATTATTGAGGTTGGTAAAATCATGAGGGGCATGCATAGGGTGAACAGCCAAGATCTTTTTCCCAGGGTTGGGGGGAGTCCAAAACTAGAGGGCAAAGGTTTAAGGTGGGAGGGGCAAGATTTTACAAAGGACATAAGGGGCAACTTTTTCACGCAGGTTGCTGCATGCATGGTATGAGATGCTAGAGGAAGTAGTGGAGGCTGATACAATAACAACATTTAAAAAGTATCTGGATGGGTACATTAATAGGAAGGGTTTAGAGGGATGTGGGCCAGATGCTGGCAAATGGAACTAGATTTATTTAGGATATTTGGTCGGCATGGACGAGTTGGACCGAAGGGTCTATTTCTGTGCTGTACAACTCTGACTCTACGATAATTGCTTGAGCATGTTCCATACTTCATTTAATGCTGTCATTAAGGAGTAAAAAATTGTTTCCCTTGCTAACACTGACCCTTAGGCTTAGTATTTGCATAGTTAAAGAATGACCATATGTCCTGGCACTTAAATCCTCTGATGAAACTTTGTACTTCTTTTGGGATTCAAGACCTTAGCATATGGGGACATGAATCATGAGTGGATCGGCAATGAATGGCTTCCTAGCTTGGGTTTACCTCAGTATCGCAGTTACTTTATGGAATGTCTAGTTGATGCTCGAATGCTGGACCATTTGACAAAAAAGGATCTTCGGGGGCAACTCAAAATGGTCGATAGCTTTCACAGGTATATATCTTGCTCGTGGTTGATAAATTCATTGAATATTTTGGACACGTTGATAATTTTAATCGATGTTTCAGAACCCTGCACTTGTACATGATTCACAATAGCTCACAGAAAAATATCAGTCAAGCTTTCTTCTTTTAGGTGCAGTCTTAACTTAAAAAGATCATGATTGAGAATGAAAAAGTGCCTTTTCTCATGTAATTTTTGGGCTGGAATTCAGCCAATATTTATTTTAAAGGCAGACAAATTAGATCATCACTTTTTTTTAAATATGTCTGTTACATTCCAGCATAGTTTAGGTTTGTTTGCCATTGCATGAAAAGTTGAAGATATCAATTTGACCAAATTTAAGTGCTTATATTGAAACACAATATTCCAGTGAGCAAAATGTTGAATTATAATGAAGTAACATTTTTTTAAAAATTAAAGGAGAAGATGCACTGCTGTACAGATGTTAGAAGTTGGACCGGAAAGAAGGAAATTTTAAAACAAATTCTGTGATATGAACTTACTTGAAAGTATAAGTTTCAAAATGCTTGTTGCCCCTGAAGCAAACTTTGCCCAAATGTATGTTTGTTTTTTAACCAGAAAAAGCTTACATTGTGGAATAATGGCTTTAAAAAGATTAAATTATGATCGTAAGGAACTGGAAAGGAGGCGTGAAGATAGCCAGCATGAAATTAAAGGTAATTATTATATTTATAACCTCTGACTTACACTGTTAGGTTGTCTTGGGTGTAATCTCACTTATAGATCCAGCGATTGAGGGCGAAGCTTCTTCCGTGATGCAAATTGATCAAACTTTCTTTCATTATAGTACTTGAAAAAACTTTTTAATTAACAAGCCCAATGTTTTTTATTTGGGTCTTATATACCCTACAAAAAAAGGTTTGTCAAACCTGGATAGAGAAGAAAGATTAAATCATATTTGACTTTTGTTATTGCACTGGTTTGTATCCTGTAGCACGCTCAGTATCAATTGGTTTTTATAGTGATTGGAACCAGGTGGACCTTTGACTACGAGGTCCTCGAGTTGGGATTGTTAACCTGGGTCAATCACCAGGAACTAACTGACCAATATTAACAAGGCATTCAGAGCCTCCTTAGCCCAGGGGACTGACTCTGAGCTGGCTGACCACATACAGTATACTGTGCACAAGTAAATAAAGGGTGACTAGGTGAGGGGATACTGGCCTCTGTGCAGTTATTTCCGTGGTGACGGGAGAAAACCATACATGCCTGAAGAACACTTACTCACAAGAGTCATCTCGGAGTTGGGGGTAAGCATTTCTGGCACCATGCCTTTATTTGGGAACCTTGACTTGTTTGATTCTGCTGTTGAAGACTAGAAAGAATGTGATACTTTGTCTGGGCAAATGAGATTGGAACAGATGAAAAACAACAGGCAATCCTTCTGACTGCTTGTGGACCTGCAGTATTTTCAGTTATAAGGGACAACATTTCCAGAGGCACCAGATACTGAAACCATGCAAGAGTTGATGGAGTTGGTTTAGGAATATTACAACCCCAAATATCCACTAATTCTGAGACATTATTGGTTTTATTTGGCCGTTAGAGAACTGAGGGAATCTGTATCGGGATTTTTGACGAAGTTAAGACGACTGGCAGAGGCATGTGATTTTGGGTTAACTCTGAATGAGATGCTGAGAGATTGTTTGGTATGTGGGACTAATGATGTAACCATACAGAAGCAGCTACCAGCTGAAGGCCAACTGGACTTCAAACAGACAATGCAGCTGGCCTTGTCTTTAGAAAATGTGGCAAGTGGAGCATGGGAACTTCAGGGCATCCCAATGGAAGCGGAAACCCTCACCTGTCCAGTTGAGCTTGCGGAACACCACTTGAGTGTAGGCAATCGCAGAGCCTCACACAGGGCATATCCTGAGCAGAGGGTCCCTAGACCAGCCCACAGCAGAACCCTGCAACAAAGCCAAGCCTCAGCCAATGGCTAAAAAGTTCTTCAGGATCTGGGCCAACAAGCCATTGTAGTTAAGGCAGCTATACGCCTTAGAAGGGAAAAACATGTTCTAGGCGCCCCAAGTGATCTGGTTGGGTTACAGAGTCTACAAAACCGGGTTACACCTGTTAGAAGATAAAATGAAGGTGATCAAAGGAGCCTCGGCTCCCATGTCTGTACCGGAGCTTAGGTCTTTCCCTGGATTAGTGAATTATTACGGAAAATTCATACGTAACCTGGCCTCCATCTTGGCACCTTTACACCTGCTGTCAACCATGGGAATGGTCTTGCGGCCAAGTTATAGCCTTTAGGAAGTGAAAAATGCAGCAATCGTCATCTGAGGTGTTGGCCCACTACAATCTGAAGAGAGAGGTGGTGCTGACATATGCCTCCCCGTATGGAATCAGGGTAGCGTTGGCTCTCCATTGGCCCAAAGGAGAGGAACGCCTGACAGCGTAAGCTTCCCAGACGTTGGCTGATGCTGAATGCAAATATGCCCAGATAAAGAAGGAAGGTTTAGCAGTCATCTTTGGTGTGAGGAAGTTCCACCAGTACCTTTATGAATGGAAATTTGTCATAGTTAGAGATCACAAAGCCCTGCTAGGGCTACTGAAGGAAGACAAGATGGTGCTGCCCATAGCTTCCGATAGAATTCAGCGGTGGGCCTTTGTTCTCAGTGCGTACGAGTTAGAACACTGTACAGGACGCCCTGAGCCACCTCTCAATGGCAGATACTCCACCGGTGGTGCCTCTGCTTGAAGAGTCCATTTTGGTTTTAAACTTCCTGGAAACCCTTCCAGTCACTGCTGACAATATCGGACTGTGGACACAGAAAGATACTGTCCTAGTGAAACTAAAACAGCTGGTAGTATTGGGGGAGAACGAAGGGCCATTGCAACCAGGACTGAAACCTTTCTGGACCTGGCTCGACCAGATTACTGTAGAGGATGGCATATCTTTATGGCGAGCAAGAATGATTGTCACATGTAAAGGTTGCTGCCAGATTCTGGCTGAACTCCACCAGGGTCATTAGGAGTTTCCAAGATGAAGATGCCAGCAAGAAGCTGTGTCTGTTGCCAGTTTGGATGCTGACATAGCTACGTTGGTGGGGCAGTGCTCAGAGCCAACAGGACAAAAATTGGCACCAGCTGCACCCCTACATTCATGATAATGGCCGAGTAAACCTTGGACCCAGTTACATGTCGATTATGCCGGTCCTTTCATGGTCTCAATGCTCCTGATTATTGTGGATGCCCATTCAAAGTGGTTGGACGTGCATAAAGCCCATTTGGCAAACTCCAGGATGACAGTTGAGAAGATGCGAGCATTGTTCACGATACACGGACTCCCGGAAGTATTGGTCACAGACAATCCAATGTCATTTACTAGCAGGGCGTTTTAAGTATTTCCTGAAGTCAAATGGCATTCAGCACATAAGGGAAGCTCCCTACCATCCATCCAATGGTCTGGCAGAAAGAGCGGCTCAAATGTTGAAGGCAGACTTGAAGAAGCACTTGATACCAAACTCTCCCGGTTCCTGTTTGATTATAGGACCACCCTTCACGCAATAACGGGGATGGCTCCAGCAGAGTTGCTGATGGGGAGAAGACTCCGCACCAGGTTAAACCTGATACTCCCAGACCTTGTAGGGAGACTGAAACGGCAGCAGAAACACCAATGACGGCCATGTGCTGCCTCTAAGTGAAAGAGAGAATTTAAGTCAAGGGATGATGTTTGGTGCCGGGACCATGGAAATGGCTCCGCATGTGGGCAAGGTGAGGTGGCCACAAGGTCAGGTTCTGTGACTTACAAAGTTCGAGGAAGTGAGGTGATCCTAAACAAACATGTAGATTTACCGGAAAGCTGTTTCCTTGCAAACGGGGCAGAACCAAAACATACTTGGCCACTCAGAAAAGCCAGAACGCCTGGCAGAGACCATAGGTTCTCCTACTCCGTCTGATGTTAAGGAAACTTCGCAGTCTGAAATGGATGCAGCCTCGATACCGTTACCGCTGGAAGAAAAGGAGGAAACTCCTGAGACGTTCCGGACGCAAGATTTTATGCATTTGTAAGCTGATAAGTGCACTGTAATGTGAATCAAGTTCCCTCTGATAATATCTTTCATTGTATTTTTACAGATGTTATGGTGTGGACTAATGAGCGAGTGATACGTTGGGTGCAGTCAATTGGACTTAAGGAATATGCCAATAACCTTTTAGAAATTGGAGTTCACGGTGGACTAATTGCCCTAGATGAGCTTTTTGATTACAATGCGTTAGCCCTATTGTTACAGATACCGACGCAGAACACACAGGTAAACAAAGAGCAATCCTTTCAAAAACAGAAATTGCTGGAAAATCTCAGCTGGTCTGAGCAGAACTCTAAAGAATTCTGAAGAGGGCTCACCTGAAACATTAACTCTGCTTTCTTTCCACAGATGCTGCCAGACCAGCTGAGTTTTTCCAGCAGCTTCCGTTTTCATTTCTGTTTTTCAGCTTTCACAGTTCTTTTGGTTTTTTGTTTAGCAGTCATTTCGACTTGCAGGAAAAGTAACTTGTGGGCACTTGCATTCTTTTGAACAAGTTGTCCAACTAATGAAGCCTTTGTTTTAATTAAAAGCAAAATACTTCGGATGGTGGACATCTGAAACACGGAAAATGCATACTCTGCAGCATATGTAGAGAAACTGAACTGTTCTGAAGAAACCCCCTAATAGACTCAAAACATTAACTCTCTTTCTCTTTCTCTTTCCATAGATGCTGTGGAGTTTCTCCATTTTGTTTTTTTTCTATTTTAATTGCAGTGTTTCACTTGAATTTGAAACTTAACCTATTTGACAAGCACAAAGTTCTTTGTGGTTGATCTGGATACAATTACATTATTTTTAATGACTGTGTTTTTGTTAAGTGAACTTAGATGCCTATAAGGTGAGCATAGCAATAATATTGCAGCAAAACCTTATTCTTTTCCAGTTCAAAGTGAGCCAAGTATCAGTATATATTATTGAAAAAAGACAATAAGTTATGGAAAAAGTGAGAGAGAAAATAGTGTGAACTAATATTGTGCATAAGTTGTCTGCAGATTGAGTCAGTGAGTTTGAGAGTGTGGACTTTTAAATGTCAATATCTTTCCAAAATTCTGGCTTGGTCTACAGTTAAATGTTAACTGCATAAAGTTTTTTCTAGCCTTAGGTAGACCTAAACAAACTGTGACACAGAGTTGTCAATTAGCTAACTAATCTAATTCTAGTTCTGGCTGCTGTAGTTTTAACTTGAGACAGCATAGCTATAATGGCCTTAATACAGCTGGCAAACAGAATGCAGATTGTAAGCAGAGTGAGCAAATACTTTGCTGATTGGAAAGTTTGACGAAGGAAGTGATCATTTCTACTTTCTTTCACCTTCCATATTTAAATTTTTCTTGAATGCAATGCAAGGAGCCGGTTGGTGCCTAGCTGGGAAGCTATTCCACTTAGTCAATGGACTATAAAGCTAAGGTATGGTAGGGTAGCTCAGCCAATTGAAATGTGTAGCCTGTGGCATGTGTCCTGCAAAGGTACTTATCCTGCATAAATGCTGGCTGCATAAACTTGATTTTCAGGGTTTTGGGTATCAGGTTGTGGCTCAAGTCACAGTGGTACATCCACAAGGCAGAGAATTGCCTGGTAGCTTGTTTAGAGAGGTGGTCACACTGCAGGTTAGGACATGTAGGCAGTTAGAGAGTGAGTGACTCCCAAAAACCAGATGAGCTTTATCCCAGAGTGTTAAAGAAGGTGGCTAGAAAGGTGATGGATGCATTGATGATTGTCTTTCAAAATTCTATAGATACATTGAGTGAGTGGGCAAAGGTCTGGCAGATGGAATACAATGTAAATAAATGTGAAGTCATACATTTTGGTAGAAGTAATAGTAAAAAGGATTATTACTTGAATGGTAAAAAGTTGCAGCATGCTGCTGTGCAGAGGGACCTGGGTGTCCTTGTGCATGAATCACAGAACGCAGGTCTGCAGGTACAACAAGTAATTAAGAAAGCAAATGGAATTTTGTCCTTCATTGCTAAAGGGATTGAGATTAAAAGCAGAGAGGTTATGTTGCAGCTGTACAAGGTGCTGGTGAGACCACACCTGGAGTACTGTGTGCAGTTTTGGTCTCCTTACTTGAGAAAGGATGTACTGGCACTGGAGGGGGTGCAAAGGAGGTTCACTAGGTTGATTCCGGAGTTGAGGGGGTTGGCTTATGAGGAGAGACTGAGTAGTTTGGGATTATATTCATTGGAATTCAGAAGATTGAGGGGGGATCTTATAGAAACATATAAAATTATGAAGGGAATAGAGAAGATAGAAGTAGAGAGGATGTTTCCACTGGCAGGTGAAGCTAGGACAAGAGGGCATAGCCTGAAGATTAGAGGGAGCAGATTTAGGACTGAATTGAGAAGGAACTTCTTCACCCAGTGGGTTGTTAATCTCTGGAATTCCTTGCCCAGTGAAGTAGTTCACGCTACTTCAGTAAACGTTTTTAAAGATAAGGTAGATTTTTTTTTAACAATAAAGGAATTAAGGGATACGGTAAGAACGTGGGTAAGTGGATCTGAGTCCACGAAAAGATCAGCCATGATCTTATTGAATGGCGGAGCAGGCTCAAAGGGCCGGACGGCCTACTCCTGCTCCTAGTTCTTATGTTCTTATGTTCTATAGATTTATGAAAGGATCCTGCAGATGTTAAAAATGTAACCCAACTCTTTAAGAAGGGAGGAAGAGAATAGTAGGGCAAATATTGGAATATTATAAAGGATGTGACAACTGGACACTCTGAAAAGAATAGCAAAATTTGACAGAGCCTATATAG